CTGCCAGGAGGAGGAGCAGGAGGAAATGTAGATGTTGAGGGACCTACAGGAAAAGGAAGAAAATTTGACATGCCTAAATTTGATGTTTCCTTGCCTAAATTAAAACCATCAGGAGGTGAAGTTGACATTGAAGGTCCCGATATCAAGGGTGGAAAGTTTCACATGCCCTCTATTGATATCTCTCTACCAGGAGGAGATGTAGATGTTGAAGGACATGCAGGAAAAGGAAGAAAATTTGTAGATGTTGAAGGACCTGCAGGAAAGGGAAGAAAATTTGAAATGCCTAAATTTGATGTTTCCTTGCCTAAATTAAAACCATCAGGAGGTGAAATCAATGTTGAAGGCCCCAATATCAAGGGTGGAAAGTTTCACATGCCCTCTATTGATAGCTCTCTGCCAGGAGGAGGAGCAGGAGGAGATGTAGATGTTGAAGGACATGCAGCAAAAGGAAGAAAATTTGAAATGCCAAAATGTGATGTTTCTTTGCCTAAATTAAAACCATCAGCAGGAGAAATCAATGTTGAAGGCCCCAATATCAAAGGTGGAAAGATTCACATGCCCTCTATAGATATCTCTCTGCCAGGAGGAGGAGCAGGAGGAGATGTAGATGTTGAGGGACCTGCAGGAAAAGGAAGAACATTTGAAATGCCTAAATTAGATGTTTCCTTGCCTAAATTAAAACCATCAGGAGGTGAAATCAATGTTGAAGGTCCCGATATCAAGGGTGGAAAGTTTCACATGCCCTCTATAGATATCTCTCTGCCTGGAGGAGGAGCAGGAGGAGATGCAGATGTTGAAGGACCTGCAGGAAAGGGAATACAATTTGAAATGCCTAAATTTGATGTTTCCTTGCCTAAATTAAAACCATCAGGAGGTGAAATGGACATTGAAGGTCCCGATATCAAAGGTGGAAAGTTTCACATAACCTCTATAGATATCTCTCTGCCAGGAGGAGGAGCAGGAGGAGATGTAAATGTTGAAGGACATGCAGGAAAAGGAAGAAAATTTGAAATGCCTAAATTAGATGTTTCCTTACCTAAATTAAAACCATCAGGAGGTGAAATCAATGTTGAAGGCCCCAATATCAAGGGTGGAAAGATTCACATGCCCACTATTGATATATCTCTGCCAGGAGGAGGAGCAGGAGATGTAGATGTTGAAGGACATGCAGGAAAAGGAAGAAAGTTTGAAATGCCTAAATTTGATGTTTC